GGGGGGCGGCCCGAGGGGCTGGGAGAGGGTCCGGCCCACGCTGCGCCTGGGCTGGGACTGGTCCCACCGGCGCAGGGTAGCAGGAAACTCTCCGCCAAGATATGTATGTTTTTAAAAATGACTACTAAAGCATGTTGAGCAAAACACTTAGGAGATTTTCTTCATGATCTTAGCATGAGGAAGACCTATTTATTGCTCAAAATACAGAAGCTGCAGAAAAAAAGTTTTAAAAAATCAACTTCTGCATGGAAAAAAACAAAAAAAACACCATAAGTAGGTGAGACAGCCAATACAAAATCAGCAAAAACATTTAGAATTCATATCACAGGCCACAGTTTAGTTCCTGACAGAATTCCTAGAAACTGATATAACAGTCCAACAGAAAAATGAATAAATGATACAAGCAGATAACTGTCACAAAAGGAAATACAAATGATGAATTTTAAATACATAATGTTCCACTTCAAACAAGAGAAATACAGAGCCAGGGATGGCAGCGCACGCCTATAACCCCAGCATTCAGGACAGCTGTGCTACAGAGTTCAAGGCCAGCCTGAACTCTACACTGAAACCCTGTCTTAAAACACCAGAAATAAAAGAGAAATACATACTAACGTCACTGGGACAGACTTTTATAGAGCAGAGTTGCATACACCCAAACATTTGATAACAGGCAGTGAGGAGAAAGCTTCCTAAGGAGCTTTCATATGCTGCTGGGGAGAGGTGACATCACAACGACCCCCATAAGGAGGACTTGGTAATCAATACCTTTCAGAACTGAAAACGTGTAGGTCACTGCCCAGCACATGCATGTCTGGGTGTGAGGTTAAGTACTGTGACATTGTTTCTAATACCCCAAATGGGAGACAACCAAAGGCCCCTGATAAGGGACAGGTTAAATAAGTTGTCACAAGTCCATACAAAAGAAGGCCTTTGGCTGAGCAGAGGCTGTTGCTTTCCAGACCACTCCAGAGCACCTGTTAATAACAACAAAGGCACCATGCAGACCTGGTGGGATAAATGGTGGCTGGAATTCTGTTACTGTGAGGTATTTTTAAAGCATATGTAGTCAGAGTAAGAATACAATACAATTTGCATTCATGTTTGTGAGTATTGTTGATGATGTCCACCATTTCTTGTGAAATTTTAACTACCAGTGGCCAGTCAGAGCTGAAGATTAAGTTTAAAACATCCTCCTCCCAAGGCCTAGGCAGCCTAAGAACTGGCTCCCCGCCATACTCCTGACTGGAGAGGAAGGTTCTCTGGGTAGGGACACAGCTCTAATGGATAAAGGATGACAAGCTCCAGAAAGAGGATTCTGTCTCTAACTACAAGATTAAAAATAGAGAGGTAAAAAATTTTACTTGTGACCATATATCCCATTTTTTAATAGTTATAATTTCAACAATACACAACAGGTGATACAAGAATCTTTTTTTTTAATACACCAATGAGGTTCTATTATCCTCATTTCATGAGGAA